GGAGCTAGGGTTGATACTGACTGTGTTACTTAAAAATCATAGGACTCACTTGTATAGGGCAAACGCCTCCATGACAGTCGCACGGATTGTGTTATGGCGTTGAGTTGAGGATGTGTATCTGGCAGTGATGGTGACAGCTCTACCTACAGGATTCGAGAATGCAATGGACAAAACTAGGCTCATTCTGAAACAGAGGACGTGGAATCACCATTTTATGTGGCACAAGGACACAGGAACTTCACTCTCAAAAGTATTTTAAAACTGCACCATGAAAGTACTTTCACATCATCTTGACCAAGTCTCCAATTTGTTTCATCTTCTGGTTTTCCTTCTGTCTGCTCTTTGTGGGCCTGCGCCCAATATGAAGTTCTGCCCATTGTGTCCCTCACATGACCAGGACCGCCTCTCCTAGACCCTGTCCTCAATGGAGTGGACTGGCTATGCTGCTGGCCAGGCCACCTAGTTCCAGAACAAAGCTCTGCATGGCCCACTGAGCCAGCCAGCTTTTGGAGCTGCCTTGTGGAATGGACCCAGGAGCATGGAGCAGGATCTAGGCTAGACACCCAGTGTGTACCAGCTGGGGAAGAGGGGGACACGCTGCCAGGCTCCGGCTTCCCCACCCTCCACCAGCTCGTGCAGTCCTGAGCCCCCTTTCTCGGAAGCCCCCTTTCCCTCACACACACTGCTGCTCCTCCTCCTCTCCCTGTAGTCTGCCTGTTACGCAGAACAGACCAGCCTTCTGCCCCATATGCTGCTGCTGTCCTGTGGAGCCCAGGGACTCTGATAACCAACTCCGGGCACCTGCCCAGCCTCGCCCTTCCATGCTTGGATTTAGTCAGCACATACTTACTGACTTTGCACCCAGACTCAGTGCTAACCAAGATCAGTCTGATCCTTGCCTCGTGGTCCTCACAGACCAGTAGAGTTGATCACCAGGAGCAATAAAGCAGATTATTCACAGCACAAATCAGTGAGAGGCTGCTGGTGTGGCCAGCAGCTGGGTCACCTGGCCCTGAAACACATCCCTCCCCCAGCTCCCTGTTGGTCACGTCCCAGTGGTCTGTGTGGTCATGTTCTGGATAAGGGCTTCTAACAGGCATGAGGTGCAGTCTATTGTTGTTTGAATTTCTGTTTCTTTGATGACGTGGGAGGTGGAGCATCTTTTTGTGTGCTTATTTGTCATCTATTCGTCTTTTCAGTGAGGTGTTTGTGAAGGTCTTGTTTCAGTCAGATCTTGCCTCTGTGGGCAAAGGACCCAACCGGCACCGTTACAGAGGAGGAGAGGAGTGAGGGCCCAGGGTTTCAGAGGTCTTAGTCCACAGAAGGCCGGCTCCATTCCTGGGGGCTGGAGGTGAGGCTGAGCATCACGGTGGGAGGGTGTGGCAGAGGTAAGCGGCTCATGGTGATCCAGAAGCAGAGACGGAGGTCTCCACTCCCCAGATACAACTGTACACCCCAAAGCCACGCCCCAGTTCCCGCCTCCTCCAGCCACACCCACCATTCAGTTATCACCCAGTTAATCCTATCAGGGGATTGACTCAAGCTCTTACAACCCGATCACGTCTCCTCTGACCCTTCATGCACTGACTCACACTTGAGCTTTTGGGGGACACCTCACGTCCAAACCGTAAGGGGCTTAGCCCTTTTGTAAGTTGAGTTGTTTTGGATAATAGCCCTGTCTTAGGTAAGGTCTGTTCCAGATTCTTCCTCCCGGGGTGTGGTTCGGTCTTTGTTTCCTGGCGGTGTCTTTCACTGAGCAGAGTCTTTAATCTAGAGAAGTCTGACTCACCAATTCTTCACGTCTTACATTTTTCTGAAAGTTACTGCCAAACCCTGTCACCCAGGTTTTCTCTGATATTTTTCATCTGTTATTTCTTAGGTGTTTCAATTTGGGGCTTTACAGTTAGGCCTGTGACCCCATCTGAGCCGTCTCTTGTGGGGGGTGGAAGGCCTGGGCTGTCCTGTGGTTCCGGACTGCTTGCTGGGAAGCACTTTTCTCCGTCGTTGTGCCTTTGCCCCTTTGCCAGGGACCAGCGGATGGTTTTCATGAGGGTCTGCTCCCGGGCCTCCGTCCTGTTCCAGGACCACTTTGTCCTTCTGCAACACCACACTGTCCTGACGTCTGCAGCTCTGCAGCACACCTCCAGGTTGGACCGGTCACTGCTGCAGCTATGGCCTTCCGCTTCAGTGTCACATGGGCTATGCTGGGTCTGTTGCCTCTCCCTACGAACCCTTAGTCAGTTCTTTATCCATGTCTTCCTGGGGTTTTAATTGGACTGTATTGAACCTCTGGATCAAGTTGGGAGGAACTGACATCTTGATGAAATCGAGACTTCCCCTCCATAGGAGCATCTCTCCATTTATTTAGTTCTCTGATTTCTTTCATACAGATCTTGTATGTATTTTGGTAAATTTTTAGCTAAATATCTCATTCTGGGGGGTCCTAATGTAAAGAGTATTGTGTGTTAATCTCCAATTCCAGTTGCTCATTGCTGCTATTTGGGAAAGTGACTGACTTTTGAATATTAACCTTGTATTGGGCAACATCGGTTCATTGCTCATGAGTTACAGAAGGTTTCTTTTTGTCAATTCTTTTGTATCTGCCACATAGAGTCATGTCATCTGTGAAGAGTGTCAGCTCTATTTCTTCCTTCTCAATCTGTGTACCTTTAATTTATTTCATCTCACTGTCTTAGCTAGGACTTGCAGTACAGTGTTGAAAAGCAGTGGTGACAGGGGACATCCTCATCACAGTCCTGATCTTGGTGGGAAAGCTTCCAGTTTCCCGTCACTAAGGTGGGGCTGACTGCTGCTGTTCCACAGGTGTCCTCCATCACCAAGAGCCTTTTCTTTATCTATGGCAGGGCCATGTGCTTTCTCTCCTTTTCTCCATTGTGGAGGGATTACATGAGTGGACTTTCAGGTGTTGAACCATCCTTGCACTCCAGGTTAAGCCACTAGCTCACACCCTGTAACTTTACAATTGTTGGATTCAGTTTGCTGATATTTTCTTGAGGACTCTTACTTCTATGTGAAGTGACATTAGTGTGTGGTTTTCTTTCCTTGTAGGCCTTGTCTGGTGTGGTATCAGTGTGGTGCTGGTCTAGGAGTGACCAGGGGATCTTCTTTCTGATCCTGTCCCCCTGATTTTATGGAGGTTTGTGCTCCTGATCATCCGCTGCAGCGAGTGGTGACTCTCTGAACCCCCATCTGTCTCTGCAGTTGGGGGCCATGGTTTGACCCATGACCTCACTTCTCTTATAAACCTAAAAAGAGTTGTTGATTTTTCAATTTGCTCAGATTTTTACAAGTCGTTGGGACAGACTGGTGACTGCCAAGATTTTTATGTTCCAGACCTGCTGTGTGTTTTTAAAGGGTTTTGAAATTCTCTTGACTTATTTTTTTTTAAGTTTGTCTTTTGATTTGTGACTCTACTGTGGAATATATAAAATGCTTGTAATTCAAATAAATTTAAAGTGGTCACCATTGGCCCACTGTCCAGGCATAGGAAAGGAATCCTGTCTCTATCTTGGGCCAGAAGTCAGCACACTCTCTGTGAGGGGCCAGACAGTGAGTACGTTTGGCCCTGTGGACCCCACAGCTCTATCACACAGACTTGACCCTTTATTGTAGCCCTTGGTGCCTTCAGACTTGATATTTTCCACTCTGGTGGATGTGTAATAGTATCTGATTGCAGTTTTCATTAGCATTTTATTGGTTATTAATGAGGTTGAGTATCTTTCCATTTGTTTATTCATTAGTCAGTTTTTCTTTTTTGAAAAGTGCTTGTTCAAGAGTTTTTATAGTCTTCACACTAAGCTATATTCTTTCTTATTGGGCAATATCTTATCCCCACTGCCTTACCTCATGCCCACTGGTGACCTGGACACTCGTGTGTGTGTGTGTGTGTGTGTGTGTGTGTGTGTGTGTGGTGTAGGAGGTGGAACCCAGGGCCTCACATGTGCTGGATGAACACTCTGCTATTGAGCCATGCCCTGGCCCTGGTTAATCCTCGTCCCTAAGTGAGCTCTGATGCAAATGTCCTCTCCCAGTCTGTGCCCTGTCTTTATGCTTTTTATCTGGTGCCCTTTGACAAATGCATTTTTAACGTGGTCACATTTATTAACCTTTCTCTGTGGGTCTTGTGTAAGAAATCCTGTCTCCCACCCCTGCAGGCATGAAGATGTGCACTCACAGTCTCCCGTGGGCACTCACCTGATTGGCTTCACACTGAGCTCCTGAGATCTGGACTGGACACTCAGATGTGCTATGAGGCCTGGACCCATTTCATGCCTTGGGAATGACCTTCCCGGTGTCCCTCATTTCCTTGTAGCCTGTCTTCCCCACTATCTTCCCCCATGCCCACTGGGTGCCTTGCTCTGTTCTGTTGGTCATTCGTCCATCCCAGCCCCACTCCACATCTGCATGGTTGCTGTAACTTATTGGTGCATCTTAGTTACTGGTGGGCATTCCTTTGACTCATCCTTCAATCAGTTTGACACATTCCATTAAAAAAAAAAATCTCTTGGGATGTTTGGAGAAAATGGCCTCTTTCCTATTTTGGAGCCTTCTAATTCATGAACATAGTGTACTTCCACTTATTTTGACCCTCTTTAATACCTTTCTTCTACATGGAGGTCTTACATCTATTCACAGATTCAGTCCCCGGGCTGCATCCCTGAGGTCATGACCCTCGGTCTCCTTTCCCAGGACCTGGTTGACCCTTATTTCACCCAAGAGGTTGATCTGAACAAGATGCCAGGTCTTGTGATGGAGACCATTCACTCACCCAGAAACAGCCCTCTTGTGCCCATCAGCCTTGTTCCTGGTTTGCTCCCACCTTCTCCAGGGGGTCAGTCTGGCTCTGAAACTTAGATTAAAAGGTGTTCAGGTGATGGGAAGAAAGCCACCTCAGATTGTCCCACAGATCGATCGCTGAGAGTCCTCTAAGTCATCATGCACATTTTACGTTCCTAAACACCATCTTCTAATGTTTGCAGAATTTTCTAGAAACTGACAACGAGGGCAACGGCATTCTTCGACGCAGGGACATAAAGAATGCACTCTACGGCTTTGATATTCCCCTCACACCCAGAGAATTTGAGAAGCTTTGGCAAAGGTAAGCGGTACCTGAAGGCGGGCGGTTCCCTCTGACGTCTGGGCTCACTTACTACAACAAGCTCCTTACAAATTCCTCGCTTCTCCAGAGGAGGGGTGGGGGTCTCCGGTCCTGTGTCCGTCTCCTTGTTCCTCATTTCCCCTGGAAAGAGCTGTGGCCAGGCCAGTTGTCAGGAATGGGAAGAGCCGGAGTACCCCAAGCAGCACTGCTGGACTCACAGGTCCGCGGGCCCAGGGTCCCGGGAGTTCAAGCCCATACTGTCACCATTTAGTGAAATACGTCCTGTCGGAAGACTTCCTCCCACACCACGCCCTGAGCTACGGGCAGTGGTAAGGGAACAAGTGGCTCCCTGTGGCCCAGAGGTGGAAACCCCGTTGCAAGGCTGTTTTATGGAAAAGCAATTTGTTAGAAGAAAATAACCAAACTTTTGAAAACTTGGAGTGGTTTCCCAAAGGTCCCCTAAACTGGGAATAGTACCTAACGTAGTGCTATTTGTCAGAATGTATTTTAGATGTAGCTGCCTGGGGACCAGGCTCCAGTTTCGGTGCTCCCTGTGTAGATGGCTAAGTTCCCAGCGCCCCAACAATGCGGCTATTTCTCAGTTTCGGATCCATCTTTGAATCACTTCCTCCTTCAGTATTTGTTAGTTGCCACTGGTGTCCCCCCGGGATGTACCGGTGTCACACGTCCGCTCAGGAGGCAGGTGCACAAAGCGGTTCCTGTCATGGTTTGGCTTTCACCTGCTCACAGTGGAGGCTGAGTGTGGCTGAGTTTGGAACTAGGCAGCGGCTTGTGTCTAGCCTGGAAAAGCAGCTTGAAGTTATCACAAAATCCTTAGTTTTAAAAGGCCCCACCCTGGCAGGGAGCAGGTCAGGTGGTGGACGCTAAAAGCCCTGGAAGGTTGGGCAGCGTGATGACTGAGACGACCTTGAGACAGAGTTCAAGGTCAAGATGGAGATGGAGGACATTCTGAGTGGGGACTGCCCAACCTGGGCAGTGGCCCAGGACCCGGGCCTAAGGGGAAGGAAGGCCAGTCCCCTCACCGTCACGGTTTCTGGGTGTCATTGACTGAGCACTGGCAGCGACAGTGTGGCTGTGACAGCTCAGAGCTGTGGTCTAGGACAAGGGTCAGGAACCCATCCAGGGCTGCGCTGGTTCAGATGTGAGCCTCAGACAGTGCCACCGCGTCAGGGGCCCATGATCGCCCGAGCTCCCATGGTGCCAGCCATGTGTCCCACCTGGAAAGTGACAGCACACACATGTGCCTCTCCAGAGGGGACGGAGCCTTGGCCGTTCCTTGGAGGTGGACACTGTGTCGTTAGGCTGAGGTTTCTTAGGTGCTACCAACATCATCATGAAATGTAAATTTTTCACCTTGTTTTAAAACTGGCTGTGGTTAGAATAATGTCCACCATTGTCGGACTGGCCTCGCATCAAGATGCTGAGTGGTTAGGGTGACTGTTCCACAGCCAGTGTGGGGTGTGACCTCTACCCCACTTCCAGCTGGGTGCCCTTGTCAAGTTTCTTGACTTCTCTGGGCCTCACTCTCCTCCCTGCCACCTGGGGATGCCACCAGGCTGGG